CCCCCATTTGGTGGCACCCCTGACATAAATTAAGTCTCACAAGGATTTTAACCACCAAGCTACAGCTTCACATATCATCAGCATCATCATCAACTCACTTATTAACATCATCGTCATCAACCTACTCATTAACATCATCGTCACCAACATACACATTAATATCATCTTCATCATCGTCATGATGCCTATGATGTTGTATGTGCATTCATTTGATTACATTTATTTTTTTGGTGTGAAAATAATGATATGATTATTACAGTGAACATATAGATTTTTTTTCTTACAATGGATACAGTTGAATAAAAAGTAATCAAAACATTTAAGAGCTAAAATTAACTAAAGGGTGAGTGTTTTGAGTGTAGATGGCTTTATAATATGCCATCTGTTATTTGTATGATGTTCGTAAATGAAAAGGAGATAGATGCTAGTCATTACCATACACTTCTTACTAGTTCAATTAGCCCAAGTCAATCCATGACACGCTTATTAAAAAAAAAAGAAAAAATCAATTATAAATAACCTTTTTCGCTGTCAGTTAATCACTTCATCCACTTAACAACAGTGCAAACCTCATTTTTACCAGCAGCCAATCAAATGTGCCTGTTATTTCCCCTGCAACATTCACTGTAAATTATTAATAATTGAATTATAAAATTTAAATCTTGGAACTGGTAATGAGCATGCTGCAGTCCGGAATAGCATTAGATACAAGTCATGTGACTTTTATTAAAGGAGCATTCTCACATGTTGATTCTTCTTAAATGCTAATCGTTGCACACTTCTCACTTGTTCTCGCCATTCAGTGCGTTTTTGAGCAAGTATGCGCATAGACCTGTGTGTGAAAAATCTAATTTTTTTTATATTATGTTTGCCATCCAAGCTGTTATTGGTCTTCCTTGAGGCCGTTTAACCATTCGTTGTGCTTGATGAAATTCAATGGAGTGTCTAAACGAAGCATACTATGTCAACCTTAATTTCTTCATTTTCTTGTTCCATTCTTCCTCACACGTTGAGCTTATCATTTCAGTATTCAGGGGCAGATCCATTGGGGGGAATGTTCCCCTCCCCTCCTATTTTGCCACTAAATTTTTTAAATTTCAATTCGTATCAATGTTATTTGCTACTCACCTATATATTCTGAAACTGTTGCCCCCCCCCCCTGTTTGAGAAATCCTGGATCCGTGTCTGATATGTTAATACCATAGTAAATTTTAGTTGACATATTATGTTCTATGCCTATTCAAAATGTAACCATCATGTTTTCTCATGATATATTATATAATTGGCTTTGATAGAGCTTCTAATTTGAATATTGTGTTCTATGCCTATTCAAAATGTAAACATCCTATGCAGTTTATTATATAATTGGTTTGATGGGGTTTCTAATTTGCATATTAGGTTTGAATGATCTGATTCCTGATACTCTACTGAGCATGTTTGATGAGAATGAGCTTGAACTCTTGATGTGTGGTACGTCATCATTTGACATCAAAGACTTACGAGAGCATCATGTAGCAGAAGGATGGAAAGGTGCTGAAGGACATAAGGTACGAGGTTTCTGATTGGTTGAAATAGGGATCATACATTCCAAATAAGAAAGCTTTGTTGATTGGTTAAGATGAGTTGTTTTTCATTTAATTTTTATCTTTATTATAACAAAGATATCAACTCAGATATGTCTTGTCATATTTTTTTTTTATTTGATTGATTTGACCATGATTTTTTAAAATTTTATTATATAATTGTTTTTATTTTTATTTAGACACTTGATTGGTTTTGGACTGTTATTGCTGGCTTCACGCAAGAAGAGATGTCTCGTTTGCTGCAGTTTACAACGGGATGTGGCCAACTGTCATCAGGCGGCTTTTCTCAGTTGCGGCCAAATTTTAAAATTGTTTCAATCGGGTCCCACAACACCTTGCCCACTGCTCATACATGGTGAGTGAGAAGATATTTCTTAAGAATAGTTTGTGGTTTTAAAAATTGAGAAAATATTGCATTTGATAAAAGATTGATAAAGATGATAATATTGGTTGTTGTGATGGACCTTGATGTGTCTACATTCTCATTTTAATCTTTTTGACTAATTTTAGCAAATTTAATCTAATTTCGCTATTCTTACTTCTAGCTTCAACCAGCTTTGTCTACCCAGCTACGATAGCATTGAGAAGCTCCAGAAGTCATTAGTGATTGCAATCAATGAAGGTTCTACTGGCTTTGGTTTAGTTTGAAGCACAAAACATCTACAACAGAAATATTTTACAAGAACAATCTGTTTTTATGTAAGTCAATCACCAAGTTTTTACATCAACTTAGTGGTTTTTATATGGTAAGAAGATTGAAATAATATATATTACTCATATGACTCTTGTTTTACCATGAAACCTTTTCCACCATCTTGTTGTTGATGTGATTTGAAGAGGAAATGTAATTGATGAACATAAATGTATTTTTATCTATGACAAGTGTTGTAAGTCAAACAGTCTATATGACAAAGGACATGTGTCATAGGTTATTTGAAGTGTCATGTGACACCGGTATGCAGTATATAAAAAAATATGATGTAATTCAATTGACACATTAGTATTATTGATGTTGGTGAAGTTACTATTGTATTCATTATTATTTAATCTTATGGGCTGGCCTAGTTTTTTTTCAATACTAGTTATAAAAAATCTTGAACTGAGATATTTGTTTCACTTAAACAATCTCAGAAAAAGATTTACTTTGCATAACTGTGGGTGCTATTTGTGTACAATTTTTCTTCCTCCTTGTGCTCGTCTGCCTTCTTTTCGCAGCAACTTAGACTGGTCTGTGGTGCGATGAGTTTCTTTTCTCAAACTCACAGTTTTTTGACGCAAACATCATAAAATCCTGCTTCCATCATATTGAGTTCTGCAACCAATGTTTGCAGTAGATCTAGGTTAGGCCTTTATGTAGAATAGTAGGCCTAGAAAGACATGTTCCCTATCACCAGTATATATGGTGAAAGTCTATGAAAATGCCTCGAGCAGTAGATACAAATTTTGTTGACTAACTCAGGACATCACATTAAAGTAATAGAAAAACTGACCTCAATGATGACTGGTATTCTTCCAAGGGGTCACCTACAAAGTTTTATGTGGATTTGCTTTTAAATGACTCAAAGCTTGTTACAACTTATTACTAGTTGTTATCTTTTTGGATAATAATGTTGGTGTGAAAGGATATTATATGTATCATTGCATGTTAATTACAGGGTTGGTATGTGTGTTCATATTTATCGGCATGGTCCAGAATTGTTCTTTAAACTCTACAGCTAGGTTAGAGTGCTTATACTATTGATAGTAAAGTTGAGTGTGCAATCTTTAAAAGCCTTATTACTGGTAATGTGTTAAATTATTCCCCTGATAATGACACTTAATTAATCTTCATCTATCATTGCCAATCTGCAATTTCTCAAGTAATAGTTACTTAAGCATATACTGTATGTGTTATGGTAAAAAAAATACCTGAAATAACTATTTTTTTAATGTATTTTAATTACTTACTTATAGTTTCTCATTGAAATTTTATTTGATAATTTTAAATACGGAATCTAATGTTTTAGTTTAATGTTTGAAAGGGTTTTTTTTAAGATTTTACTAGAATTATTTAAAAATTAAAATTTAAAATTCATTGAAATGGTATTAAAATGAAATCTTTATAAAAAATATTTTGTTTACCATTTCAAGATTCCAAAAAGAATAGACATTTAACCAAATAAATTTGCACTATTTGAACTATTTCCTAAATAATCTAGAAATTCTTTTTAATTTAATTAAGGTTGCGATTAAGATTTATATATATTTATACTAATCTCACCTTAACTTATATTGGTGCTCCATACATATTATGTAACAAAATTGTCTGTTCTGATATTTTGTGGCACCTTAGCAAAAGATACCCAATGGAGTGGGCTTACTGGAAGGTTCATTCTTAACAAGGTACATATTGATTCACACAGTTGTACAAATTCACTAGTGTACTAGTTTACAGAGTTCAATCCGCCAGACTCTGTGTGTACTTTTTAGTAATAATAAAAAATAAAGTAATGGACATTTAAACATTTGGACATTTTGTTTTGGAAAGCAGTGTTTTGGATTACTGTTGATGACTGCTGTTGAATTAATGGATTTATAATCAATTTATATGTTAATCATGTTATACAGATAAATAGCCTTGTAATGTAATGTCGTTGAATTTGCATAGCGCTTTATACCGAAGTCTCAAAGCACTTAAGGTGTTGACTAGTTTCCAGTATTGTCAAAGCTGATGAGCTAAAAAATCACAGTTCTATTTAGTTATATCAGTATCAAAACATTCAAGCAAAATGACACACATTTTGTGTTGCGTGGTGCTGCTCCATGGAGAATACAACGTGACGAAGTGTACTTGATGGATTTTTCCAATGACAGTCCGTCAGATTGCCAGTCAATCAGCAGAAAGCAATGCATTGCACAGAGCAGAGAATGTTTTGCAGCCAACAGTATGCACCAAACTAAGAACATTAATTGGGGCATATAGTGAAAAGATTATAGAAAAAATGATTCTCTATGGTTCAATATTGAACCTTTCTTCAAGTGACCTTCATATATTTTCGGGTTTACAGAGCTCTATATTGCCGAAGATCAGGAATTGTAGATTAAGTCAATAAAAACTTGTATAATACCTTCTTGCTTGTATTAATGATGTAGACTCTAGTAACAAATTATCTCATTAATATATTTCATCAACTAAATTAATTGCATTCATTTTTAAATTGCATTTATGAAACGTGACAATTCTTATGTTCTGGATTTACCATGGAGTCAGGGCAGTTGAGATGATTGGGGAAGGGGACGAATGACAATGAACCAAATTGAGCCGTCTGTACATGCATCAATAAGATGGGTCTTTTAATGTCTTTTTTCTCAAGAGGTTTATAATAGAATATTAAATCGTTCTATAATATTGTAATTTTTGAATATTTTGCACGCAAGTCTCAAAAGGTTAAACATGCACTAATGAACCATTTGTGCACATTTGTGAAGTTGAAGGTAAAATTATGTCACAATTGACTTATAATATGTATATTATTACCCATACAGTACTACTGCCCAACCATTGAGTACTTCTGATAATGCTAACCGATGTAATTTATTTTATTGACAAACATCTTGAAGCTGGCTGAACTGCTGATAAGCTGTGACAGCCAAATATGACAGCTCGATGTTGATCGGGTAAATGTTTGATTTGGTCAATGCATATATTGTTGTTGACTTAATGAAATTAGTTAACACTTGACCGTCGACAAGCAAACGACAATCATTGCCGTTCTCGTCAGTTAATGTGTAATGGAATGTTAAAATTATGGTCGACAAAAAGACTTTTAGAATTGAGTGTACAGACATTGTGTCTTGGGAATCCTATCACATGTCCATTAGCTCCTGAATTGCATAATCTGTTCTTAATTTTATCAATAAGTCCCTTCAGCTGGCGATACCACAAAATATTATTAAACCTTAATGTAGAGTCATTTGAGATATAAACCTCGATCTCAGTCGCGCGGCGGATCAAATTGTGTCCTGTGCGTTACATTTTGTGCCCATGCGACACTCTGTCCCTTCGCTTTAAAGTTTGTAATCCGTGGTCACAATCCCCCCACCCATCGTCTACTCTGTTTTCGAAATGCTTGTGTACAGTAAAATTAATGTATAATAGTGTGGTGAATATTGTGGCTACGTAATACGTACAGTTTTTTAGATCGCGTGTGCAGTTGCGCATTGTATTACAACAGCTAAGGATCGAGTGAACGCTCATGGAGTTTACCTGTGTAATCCTCCAGCCATATAATTAGTTGTGTGCCAGTATCACTGGTATGTAAATGTAAGCGAATCTAAGATATGCTGCAAGATAGCCATGATTTTTTTAAGCTGATGTCTATCGGAGGCAGAAATTCTGTTAAATTCCAGAAAAGCGTGAAGTCCATTTAAATTATGATGTTTAAAGTTGTTGTAAGGATTGAGATATTTCAACAGCTAATACTGTAAACACTATTCATACGAAATTGGAAGGTTTGATAATCGTTGGGCCGTAGTAGACAGTGGTTTTCTAACCGAATATGTAGGCGGAACGCACATATTATGTTCAGTTTATTTTCGTGAGCGGGCCGCACTTTTCCCTCCACCTGTGATATAGAGTTGCCAAACTACTGTTAACGTTCTTGATCAAGTAAAATTAAACAGAGAACTGAACAAACACTTATCTTATTTCATATGTTGTTTAGTATTATGTCTCCACAGTTTTATGTCTTTTGTGACAACGATATTGTAATTTTAATTTTGTTAACATTAAGAATATGATTTTATGCTATATGTTTCCCATGGTAAATTGTTGAAGTCTATGTGGATGAATTAATTTGTTTTTAAATTTACGATTATCGTTTGTATCTTGTAAGGTCTTACAAAATTGTATGCTTACGATACGAATGTGAGGTTTAAGTGGCTCTTTCCTCTTCCGAGCTGACGTCATAGTAACGTGAGAGCGCCACGTCTACGGATGATCGACGCGAGCGCGTATAGATGCATGATGTGACTAAACGCTGCACAACCAATCGCAGAACATGAAATGCTCAAAGGTGCTTGCATTTATGATGTCATTTCCTGAGAGAGTCGCTTTAATTATTATTGCAATTAGTTGTATTTTGTAGTGTTTTTTGTATGTAAATATTGTTTGATATACCTTTTATAATTATTTTCAGTACTATTACTCTATTTGTTTAAGGATATTATGATGTTGTCGACGTATAGTTTAGTAGTGTTAAACCAATTCCATCAACCAGTATGTATTTCATGAGTCGTATTTAGAATAGTATTTAATTATAAGCCTCACAGGCCTCAGTAATTTATTTGAAGACCACCTTTTTGTAAAGTGGAGATATTTTTGTGAAGATGCTTTCACAAGTTAGCACTGTAAAATACCAGGTCTACATTACGCCTATAATAAGTCTAAAGTAACTATCAAATTTTATTTGACAAAAACCTGTGACATGCCTAAATATGGTTATGATGATATCACATCATGACCATATATAGGCATGTCATGACTATATATGGGCACATTATGACCATATATAGGCATGTCATGACTATATATGGGCACATCATGACCATATATAGGCATGTCATGACTATATATGGGCACATCTTGACCATATATAGGCACATCATGACTATATATGGGCACATCATGATCATATATAGGCACATCATGACTATATATGGGCACATCATGACCATATATAGGCACATCATGACTATATATGGGCACATCATGACCATATATAGGCATGTCATGACTATATATGGGCACATCATGACCATATATAGGCATGTCATGACTATATATGGGAACATTATGACCATATATAGGCACATCATGACCATATATAGGCACATCATGACCATATATAGGCAAATTATAAATCTATATAGGCATACATCAGTTTATTGTCAAAGATAATTTGATAGTGCTTAGCCTCAAAGTGTGAGAAGGCTGATTTGTAAATTGTAATAGGCATGTCTATTTATTATGTGTATGCCTTAATATGTGCATGTATGTAGCAATGCTCTGTGTTTTATGTTGTGGTAAAAATAGTTACTAATGATATCCCATAATAGTTACTCTACCGGTGCTTAGGAGGTGTGGGGTCAACTCCTAACCGAATCACATTCTGCCGTTTTTTTGTAGTATTGAAGACGCACCGACTATAGTGTAGTGCCACTACGAAGCACAATAGTTCAACACTGGAGAAAGTGAATCTTATCTTAAAATACAAACACATATTTGATTTACTGTATTTCCGTATTATATATGCTAACATATAATTCGCCTTAATATATTAATTTTGTTAACATTTTACTCAACCGGAAATAAATTATTCAACCTTTTGGTTGCGATTCACCTACGAGTACGACATTTGGTTTGTGTTCCACGTGTACGAGTGTCTTGGTCCACGGCAGTAAAAGTTGTGTTTGCTTGTGAATTAGAAGCTCGTTTTTACTTCATTGTCGACTCATTACATCCAAAATCGAGGATTCATCATTTTTTTTCAGGGCTTGTATATAAGTTCTTTTATCTATTTTGCACTAGGCACAGGCACCGGCAGGCATACCGATATCCGAGTAAAATATTAATTATGTCATTAATAAATAATGACATGTTTGTGTGCAAGTTCGACCTTTGACTGAACGTGCGGCCTCGCTGTCATCTTGCTTTTAGCGCCGTCTCCGACACAGTGCACCCGGGCGCGATATACACTAGGGGCGGATTCAAGGGGAAAACATCCCTCACTCCCTTACATTTTACAATTGAAGATTAAAAAGAGGGAAAAATTACCTTAAAATTTAAGTTTAAGATTGTCCTTTCCGACAATCTCATGTGCCATAGCCATTTTGTACAAGCATGGTGGAGCTGTAGTGGTGTACGTGGACAAGCTAAATTTGTAAAAGCCTCATCTTGGACCCCTCGGTTTTGAATTCCTAGATCCGCCATTCAGTGCGCCTCTGGATAGGGAGTGCGCCCTATCCACGTCCACCGCAATTGCACGAAAATTAAGAAGAATTTCATCTACAAACTGAAGCTGATTCTAAAGGCCTACTGCCCATGTGCTAAAAAGAAACATAAGTAGGTCTAGAATTCAATATTCGAAGACTTGCTTTCTTTTAATTTAGCCGCTTGCAATTGAAATATTTTTAACAAAAATTTCCCTTGCTGATAAATAATAATACAAAAATTAAAAAATTAAAAAATTAAAAAAAAAATAATACAGGAGATATCTATAACCTTTGCATAAACATAGAAGTATAAATAAACTGGCGATGAATTTTCGTTGAGAAAATTCTGTAATTAGCGAATACTGATTTTTTTGCTTCGATCTGTCTCTAGGAAGTTGTTAGATCCGCTGATGACGTCACATTGTGACATCGTCAGCTGACGTACCTGTTTGAGAAAGCATCCATCCAGATTGGATACGAAAAAATCGATTACTGTTATTGGATTAATTAACAAGAGCATTTTTTTACTTATTTATTATGGTGGAATCTGATGAAATAATCCTTTTAAAATGTCAGAGTTGTAATTTATTATTAAGGAGTGCGTTTAGAGGTATAAGAGACAGTATATGGGCACATTATGACCATATATAGGCACATCTTTAAATCTCTAAATCTCATTTAGGCTACATACTGTAGATGCTTTAAGAAACAAGTTTAAGCTTGACGGCAAATTTGATGTTCTCTAGTCTGTAGAAGCACAAATACACACGCGTTATAACATGTTGTCATCATCGTGCGAAAATATTAAACTACCAACCTGTACACCATTTTATACATCAACAGTAATATTTAATATTGGCGTTTGCATTAAATATAATAAAACATAAATGAAGCCATTTTGTCTATCTAAGCTTTTATTACACTCTCCATAAATGAGATTTACAAAAACATGTGAAAATAGCACGAATAAATAGTATTACATAAATAAATGTGCTAATATTTCAGTTTTATACAAATACAGGTATGCTGAGATACTAATTCTAAAAGGATAATTGCATTGCGATAGATGTTTCTATTGAAGCCTATAGAAGCGGATAAAGACAGTCACACTGACGTAAAGCCGATGTTGGCACTGTTGCTAATGAGACGTCTATTTCCTCAAGGTGCGACGGCGTACCAATTTCTACTTACTGTATACAAATTCAATTACATTACAGTATTCTAATTATTTCAAATTCTTTAAAAAAAATTCGTTTGCACGTTCCCGTTTTGTTTATGATTGGTCTCCGACATATACCAAGGAATGCTTCAATCCACTGAAATTAACGTAAAATTCGTGGCGAAATTTACGTCAAAATCCCGGCAGGAAATTATGTCAACCCAAAAAGGTTTACACTCAACTTCCAAATGAGATATGACGTAATACTCCGACTAGAAATCACGTCAAAATTTTGTCAAACCCGATCTATTACATAACTCCAAATTAGGACATGACGTAATATTCTGATAAGAGATGAACAATGATTCTGGTCCTGGTCAACTGATCAACCAAACAAACAGACAATATGACATTATGACTGGTTGACCTATGACTGCGTTGACCCTTTAAAGTTGCCAGTCCAGCCGCTCATCTAAACGAGTTCTTGGAAAGAAAGTACACCTCAGTGACATCTGGAAAAGTAGTTTATCGTTGTGTCATCATGGTGACGAACTCTGAGAATAAAAATTAAAGTTATTGATTACAAATACGTTATTCACAAAGTCGCTGTGAATCTAGTCGCATATAATATATTAATAGTGTTGTTTTGCGATCTTGCGAAAGTAATATTATTTAATGGAATGACGTCACATGTTCAGAGACTGCGTTTTTCTCATCGTCAGTGAAGATACTATTTTTGTACTTTAATACACGAATTAATGCGCACACTTAGAAGAAAACAATTGAAATATAATCAGGATAATAGATCAATCTTGTTCCAATTAAACCAGTAGGCCTAATTAAGTATAACTGCATTAGCAATATTAGATTGGATGATAATATTAATAAGAGCAGGGATGAGGGAGTAGTCGAATATTTGCCGTTGCTTATCTCGTCTGATTAAAATAGTCACGTGACGTACTACTTGAATATTTGTTTATTGAGTGTGTGGATCAATTAGTATGTTGCTCTTCAACTGTCTGTATATTCACCCGCAATGGACAATGCAGTAAATCATTTAAGATGTAGTATTGAGCTAATAACACTTGAAGAATACGGTACTTTACAATGCCTGTTCTTCACTATGCCTGCCCAGGGCATTCTGCTCCCACCCAATATCAGTAAAGCTTATACAAAATGTTGAGAAACGAGCATTCCGATATAATATTGAGATGCAATTGGGAACAATTGTTGTGTATAATAAGCTACCATAATTTTCAATTGAAATTTTGAACAAGAAAATATAAATTATCTTATAATTATAAATTATTAGGCCATATGCGTAATGATACAATTTTTATTTGTTTGCGTGAACTCATAATTGGGTGGTACGGTATATAATCAATTTAAAAATGTTCATAGTAAAAAATCAGTTAATCAGACGAAACTGCTTTGGTGGAGTTAAAGCTCTGTACAAATTACCAAATTTTCTTCGACAAAAAACTGTTATATGCCCATATAATCACGTGACTATACATGTTATGTGATGTCATCATGACCATATTGGCTTAATAACTTTTTCCTTCCTTATATTTTACTACATAGAATGTGAATCTTTACATAGGCTATATATTTTTTCAAGTTCAAATATTGTTCGTATGCAATATTGTTAAATGTTGTTAAGCATAAATCAAATGAGATCTGACATATTCAGTCGGGCGTGTGCAATTCTCAGATGACATTCGTTCTCTCCTTTAGTTTAGATTTTATGTGATATTATAATGTAATTCACTCTCAGTAGACTGTGACAGTGTAAAATTCGTCTCTGAATATGCAACATTTACAGTGCAAAAAAAGCAAAAAATTACCGACTAACTGAAGCATAATTTATATAAGATTAATAAATATACCCATGATATTTTTTTTATCAAAAGGTTAATTCTTGTAATATCATACCGCAACGCTTCAGCTGCCGGAAACGTTGCGCCAGAAACGTTGCGCCAGAAGCCAAAAAGTATAACCCCTAAAAATTAAATATTAATCAGCTCGTGTTTTTCATATAATAATAGTTATATTTGGGCAAGCATCCTCAGTGGTGCCACAGGTTGAAAATCTTTAAAAAGAAGTAGGTCTACGTTCGTACCTTCGTAGTTGACTTGGCCGTCGCCGTCGATGTCGGCTTCTCGAATCATTTCGTCGACTTCTTCGTCCGTCAACTTCTCCCCTAGATTTGTCATTACATGTCTAAGTTCGGCAGCACTGTATATGAAATAAGGAATTAAATAAAAATAAATTAGAGAAAAGTACGTCAAGACATTTGTCCCACAAAAATGGTAATCATATTTTACAGGTGTACGTCCCCTTCCGTTGATATCCAGAAATATTGACATGGGGTACTGTTGGGAGGGGTAACGTTAAGTGATGGCAGCTCATTCTCAGTGAGTGACACGCTCCCTGCTGTTAAATTAAGATAAAATAAATACCATAGAGTCAATGGCACTAGCTGGAAAATAAGGTGATTTTTTTTTAAACTACAGTATTTTATTGAAATTTATTTGATAAAGTAAATTTCCGATAGGCCCGCCTTAGGAAGGTTGTGGGGGTTTTTTTCTTTGTGACTTAACAGTAGTTGTATAGAGCGCTATAAAAACCTACATATTATTATTATTATTATTATTATTATTATTATTATTATTATTATTATTATTATTATTATTATTATTATTATTGTTATTATTATTATTATTATCATACTGGTACGGGTATTGGACATTTATATTGCGCCTTTCCCTTGCGGTTATGAAGCGCAAGCCAAGCCTCAATAATTCAGGAAAACAATGGTAGGCATAAAATCAGTAATTATTCAGGAACCCAAAGCCTCACAATAGTACAGTCACAAAAAAAACAACAAAGACAAAAAAACAAAAAAAACAAAAAAAAAACAAAAAAAAACAACAACAGATTACAACAATAATAAAAACACAAAAGGAAATACTATTAATATTATTATTATTATTATTATTATTATTATTATTATTATTATTAGATACATACTGGTCCTCTATAAAGTGACTCACACATGTGCTATATACGGTATTATGTGCGCATTGAATATTATGTAATGCTCTAATCTAAGCCTGTCAATCGTCTTAATTAGGGCATATCCTTAACAATCTCTGACGGCTAAAGGTACTGAGGTCTAACAGGTTACTATGGATACGCAGTGAGTACCTATTTAACAACCGTATATCTATTTCTATTAAAAAAAATATTCAATGAAAACGTCAATAATTATTCATAAAAGGCAGTCATTGTATGATATTTGTTCATTAAATTCAATACGTGACCGTTGAGATTAACACTCATTACTACCGGTATAGGTTATGTGTTTATAGTGACTATAATGTTACCATTAGCTCTAATAGTTGTTACCTAATGTAGCCATTTCCATCTTTATCAAAAACACGAAATGCTTCACGGATCTCCTCTTCTGAGTCCGTCTCTTTCATTTTCTTCGCCATCATCGTAAGGAATTCTGGGAAATCGATCGTCCCATTGCCTGTGGAAAGATATAACAATAACGAAGATGAAATACCAATAACACAGTATTATAGCTGGTTTATAATAAAGAAATCTGAAATAGATGATCACTCATGCCATGCAATGATGACGGATTGCTACAGTGTGTAATACTCAGTCGCCACCAGTAATAATATATAATGTATGGCAAAACTTAGCGTAATATGATGCTACTATAATATATAGCCCATTACTGTATTTGTAATAATATTAATAATAAGTATTATTATTATTATTATTATTATTATTATTATTATTATTATTGTAGTGCTTTATGCACAGCTTTTTAACATCCTACTATCGACGGTGAGTACTAATACTAAAGGTCCAGTAATAATAATACTAGGCCCTAATAACAATAACGATGATAATTTTAACCTTTTTTTAAATAATAGTAATAAAATAATAATATTTAAAAAAACAGTACAATACATAACTCATAATTGCCAGTCTCCGACGTCGTCACAATCGGTGAGTCTGTATTTATCTTATAATGTTAATGGCCCAAGCAACGACTATGTATATTTACGAGTACTATATAGTCATATAAGAATTAATTTAATCATTTTGAACTAAAGAATTATTATTAGTATAAATCTAATTGATTGACGTGTTATTTGATCTTAATACAATCCATCCAACATCAAGTCGCTGGCAGTGGAACATGTCACAAGCGTATCGTTTCAATATCATATTTGTTTGTATTGTGATATTCGCAATCACATGTTAATATTTAGCAGTGCGTTGTAATTTCTTGTTTACGGTATACGCGATGCTAATACGATCAAATATGTTTAACTTCATGTGGCATCTCTGTATGACGTCATAAAGGCATACCGAACCTGTATTACATTTGAAAATGAAACATCCATAATTGTTTATCCTGTGATTGGTTGTGAAGTAGCGTGTAGCCTCAATTTCAATACGCACTCGCTGCGCGTGAAAGGGAATGTGCACATTAAGTTGCTCTGTTCATACTGCCAAATTTTATGTCACGGGCTAAATTTGTGTTATATATGACATGATCATGCCCATATATGGGCACATCACACAAATTGGTCACATAAAATGAGTGTGGACAGATTTTTTGAAAGGTTTGGTCCGTCGAACACGTACACTGTCAAATTTTAGCGCTGACAGAAAAAAAAATCGCACAGGCATAGGCTATAAAAACGGCCACATGCCTTAAAATGTTTAGTTGCTGTGGACAATATTTGCAGATTTAGAAATTTTATTTCATTTCATTACATATATTTATTATTTATTCGATCATCAAACTGCAGTGGAAAAAAAAAACAATTTAAGAATTTGCTATGGCTCACGAAGAGTCAGCTGTCCCAAAATATATGGAAAGATATTTCTCTTGCTGTCAAATTAATCAAACGTCAGGAACAGAATGATAAGGCGACAGTATAGAGAGAGGCATTGATTTCGATGTTATATGGCGGTCTTTTTTTTTAAAAGAATTTATGTCAGTCAGTCTAATGGGAATGAATCAAACAAACTTCAAGAAAATAATTTCTGCGTAGTGTATCTGATTTCTTGAAGGCGTGTTATTTGTAAAATTTATACTGCTATACAGGGAAAACATTGCTTGTGTTACGGAGACATTTTATGGCTAAATAATTCCAATTTCGCGCAAATGGTGTACGCGGATTTCAGCTCGCGCAAATGCGAGTTTCCTCTCACAATTACGCGTACTCATCTCTATCAACACCCAGATCTGCAAAAACATGGTTTTAATCAAAAATGATAAATAACGTCGCAGCCATGCAATTAAACTCTGCTTGTGTTACGTTTTACTCTATTGGAAAATGAAATGGAAATCGTCTTAAGTATCAAGTCATGTACATTATAGATGCAAAATTTGCAGAAAGGTAACGTCGTGAGTGCAATAGAAACTAACTATTAAAAAATAACTATTAAATTATCAATGGGAATGAATAATTTTTTAAAACTTATTTGCACTGAAAGGAGTGTATTTAGACTCTTGATAAATAACGTTTGTATGTAATTGTGCTTATGTACGGTACGCCGCGGCGTCTCGGAGCATTTTCGTCGTACAATCATTAATAATAAAACACAACATATAGTAATTATTTGCAACTCCGTCCCTACGGGTGTCGTTTGGACAGCAGATATTTGCATTTAGGACTGACCGAAAAAATTGTTGGCCTCCGCCATATTGCTATTTCAGTAGTTGATAGGGCCTATTTATGATATAAAATAACAATGGCCATTGGTAAACAGACTCATTCGCAATGACGGATCAATCGACCTTAATTAGCATGGCGTAGGCCTACACCTGTACACATGGACTGAGTAAATATAGATCGTAATGGGATACATGCCAACCGGCTCAGTTATTGATGGCTTGACACAATAGATATACAAAATAGAATGGATAAGCGAACTCATAAATGATACTTGTTGGTGAAGTACGCCGTTTCATCACACCTAGGAAAACATGAATGGCGTTATGAAAAGAAATAATACTATAGAGCAATTGTGCGTCCTTCAAATGAGTTTTCCGCGTCCTTGTTATATGAAAATTTGCTTTTTTCATATTCGTTGCTTTCATACATTAAGCCATAAATGTTTTGATAATTTTTTTTTTACATTTGCGATGAAACTGTCTTCTTTTCGCCTACTTCCCCATAGATTTCTTCATTTCTTCTTTAATTTCTCTCCTCTTATTTTTTCTTGTTATTCATTCTCCTCTTTAAAAATTTCATTTGAACAGCACAATGATAAATTGCATGAGAAAGGGCAATTGCGCTTCAACTGCCTGCATACTTTCATTTGTTTCTCTTTAATTGATGCTCATTTTTTCATAGGCCTATTTTACATCATTATTATTTCTCTTCCTACCGGTACGGTACGTCTTCATTCCTCAATTGAATTTTATTTTTTCCGAGATAAGAGAACTACGAGGAGCCTACTTCGAGTAACGTCATAACCTAACATAATCATTGACAACGTTTTTTAAGTATAATCTCTAATATTATTATAATTATTAATATTATTATTATCCTCATGCAGTTATTTTATCATTATCCATTATTATTATTAGGCCTATTATTCATTATTATATAAATTTTGCAATTACTGCTATATTACTATTATTATCATTATAAATTTTATTATTATTAACCATTATTCTCATTTTCATAGTTATTAACATTATTTTTTATTTTCATTAACAACACTAGAAAGAAGTGTTTTGAAAAAGAAGCATATAAAAATTAATCATGTTAAACGTACCATCGGCATCCACTTCATTGATCATATCTTGAAGTTCTGCTTCCGTTGGGTTTTGTCCCAATGAACGCATTACAGTTCCAAGTTCCTTGGTGGTGATGGTGCCGTCACCATCTTTGTCGAACAAGGAGAATGCCTCCTTAAATTCTACGAGAAAGCAACCAATGACTCATTATAATGGTATATATTATACTCTAATTATTATTTTAACGATCGCTCAAATCACAATGAACTCTCTCCATCAACATTGATCGCATAAGGCATGATCACTTTTTCCTTCTTTGTGCGTGCTTTAATTTTCTTTGTTGTTCAATAAATCCAAGATTGCATCATGGGAAATCAATAGGCATACGACATTAGGATGTTTTGATGGTCGAATAATAATAAAGCCAAGAATAAAGCCTACAGTACTGCTACTTTAACAACAGTGACGGCATTTCATCTCGAACATTGATTGGAATAAGGTTTACTCAAGTCTAAACATTCGCCTGGTCTATAGTAATTACGTTCCGTATCCTCAAAGATGTTAGATCCACGATGAATCTAATAAGGCAACGGACAGGCCATTTAAATAGATCGTTAATGGGATTGTCAAAGTATTAAACGAGGCGCAGGGTTGGCTTGTACATTAACTTAACAAATATGGTTTGTTCTTACTCACCAGCAATTTGTTCTTCTGTCAGTTGATCAGCCTATGCAAGAAGTTAAAAATAAATAATTAGACAGACTTTTTTAGGAATGATAACAATGAACGAATAAAAATTAGTGACGAAAATATCGACCACATCTGTACAGAAAAAGGTGGTTGAATCCGATGCACATGTTTTTGTTTATTTCAGCAAGCTCATAAAAGTTTAATAGTGTCAAATCAAGATAACTACGATACGATACGATACGATTTATTGGGTTCACTTTTAGATCAGTGGCACCCATCACTTAGATGGTGCACCCATTAACAATATAAAATATAAGCAAAGGAAAGCAAAAGACAGTTCAAAAACAACAAAAGGATAAATAGCATAACAAAAACAAAACCAAGCAATTTACAGCAACATTTTACCCTTATTATCTAAAAAGAAAAATTCTTATTAAAATATAGTAAGTAAACTGAATGAAACACACTGAGCTGCACAACAACCTGTATTTAGAAGTCGTGTGAAGTTACCGGATTATGTATTTACTTTATTTATTTATTTCCTTTTTCTACGGACCAGGGCAGAATTAAAGTCAAATTCAGTAAAATATTACAGGTTCTTGTACAGCTCATTGCGTTTCATCCAAGCAATATAAAGGTATTTTTTACAATATTTGTCGAAGATAAAACTTGCATCATTGTAATCAGAATCAACCAAATTGTATTTAAGGGGAAATTCATTATGGATAGACAGGTCATCAAAGAAAAGATGGTGTCTAAAATTTGCTAAACTAGAGTAAACATATCCCAAGATATATCAAGGTTGTATTCATTAAGTTCAATTTTAAGTTCCTGGAAAATTGTATCTCTAATGGTTATTATTATAAATAAAATATCACACGCTGACTTCTCGGCATGTGGTCGGCCCTCATCTGCTTTAAATTTACAAATAAGGCCTATTTTTTTTTATTCTACGAGCTAGAAGTAAACTGATAGAAAGTTAATGTTCTCCCATAGGGCCTGGTTATGATTTATCCCTGGGAAGACAAGCATCAAGCTAATTAACTCCAATCGAAATAGGTAAACTAGAGTAGGCCGTTGATGAGCTTTTATTCCCGCCATTTCAATCGTTCTTGCCATGATTTTCTCCTTTTGTACCTTGAAGATGTTCAGCCTGAAATGTCCACCGGACTTGTGTCACAAAACTGTTTCTTTGAGATTCCGATGCATTATTCGTCGCGTGAGAAAACTAATAAATTATTTCATATTATAACCAAAATTAATTGCGTATAAGAGAGTAATAAATTAATAAAATATAGCAAACAATTTTTTGAACTGCATTAAATTCGTTGCCTGAAGGTATATAAACGTCTTAAGGGTTATTGAAAATTGAAGAAGTTGTACATGAGACGAAATAAACTAGCCCAATGTGTGGGAGTGGACAGGGTGGCGGAGAGATTTCGCTCCACGTGAGTTTAGCCTCCATTTCATACTGCTGCAGTGCATCGCTCCCCAGGTCGTGTTTCCTCAACGGGGGCCAAGATCCCTACCCGGGAGGCTGAATTCAGTATGGGTTTGAGCTGGGAGACCGAATTTAACCTGCATGATGCGTAAAAAGTAATTTATGAGTGTGGGATAAATGTTGTCATCATGACGTTTGTTATAACATAGTCTTCAGAGAAATCGACAAAGTAACTAATTTACTTTCTTTTTCGTTAAAAAAAACCCCATAAAATTTAAACCAACTAAATGACTTTATGATGGTCTATTGATGTACGCCTAAAAATATTCGTATCAATAAATAACTCCGATTTTTCGGCACTTTATGGTGTATCTTACGGTGTATCTTACTGAGGTCGGTTTGCAATATATGAATCAGTAACAAATTTCATTAACTTTATAGAATTAAATAGGCCTATAATTATTATTTCCAATATAAAAAATGTACGAAAAATCTACAATGTTTTTTTATGTTATTAATTGTAGGTCTATTATCAAAATACAAACATTGCCGTAAAGACATGTAAATAAATCTTAGCACAATTCATAACAAATATAGCCTACCAAAAAAATCAGAAGACTTTCGATAGGCCTATATGTCGCCAAAATTGTGCAGTTCTTATTATTTTTATTATTTATTTAAAGATTTGGTTGAAAGCCTTATGGATTTCGGATACATGGCAGCATACAAGGGTACATAATATTATAAGCTTGCAGTCTGCAGTTTTACAAAACTGATCAAAATTAACCGCTAAACCGTATGAAAACATAACTATGCTCAAAGAAATTACTTTCAACTAAACCGAATGATTAAATTATTATTTCAATCCGTGAGAACGAAAACTGAAATCAACCAATGCAAAGATTCCATCGTTTCCCGCCAACGCAAACTTACTCCATTCTGTCCTGCCGTTAAGTAAATAACCATAAATGTTTTACGTTTTCAATTAGAATCATTTACACAAGTCGGTTTACAAACAAAATTCGACTTACCATTCTTTAAAAAATAGTAGATATTGATGGGCACACCGAAGTAAAAAAATTGTATGTTCGTCTGCTAGTACAAACAGTATAGTGAGATTCTCTGATGAATGTACTGAGCCGCCGACGAAATTTATGAACAAGATTGTCCTATCCAGAGTTGTATGCAAATTAGTCCTCATCATGTCGTTGCTTTATTGAGGTGAGTATATGAATAATTCATCAAGCGGGCGTTGTTACACGAGAACATAATAATTTTACACTTTATTGATATAATATTTTTTGCCGAGTTACCGTAGTTTTATAAATTTGGATGAAAATATACTTTCCCAGTGAAGTATGATCGGATACTGTAATGTTATATTGTTAGGCCTATATCTGTTTATTTATTTTATATAGGCCTAAGCAAATATAAGCCTATAATATTATAATATAATATAATATAATATTATGATGTATTAATTATAATGTAATATAAGGTTATATTATAGCCATTTGTATTATATTTTACATATTATATATATATATATATTACTATTAGGCCTATATTATATTATAATATATTATATATTATATTATATAATTATGTTATATTATATTATATTATATTAGGCCTAAGCCTATATAATTATAATATTATGTTATAATCAGGCCTGTTCAGTTTTCTGTTGGAAAAATTGATAGGCCTATACAGGGTGTTAATCACATTATCAAACCAACCACCTTACCGAGCTATGCTTGATAACATAAAATGGATGTTACTTTTGAGCAGCATTATGTAGAATAATAGTGATATACCCGTATTATATAATAGAATGTTATAACCATTGACTTTTTATTGGCTTCGTTTACGGATGAATTACAACGTTAACAATTCAATAATTTAAAAAAAAGAAAAATATACGTTATAGCGTAGAAAACAAAAGATATATAATGGTAATCAGAACGACTTTATGTATACATAATAATAGGCCTAATTTATATATAGATGATTATATCCTTGGCCTACGGCCTAATCCAGTTAGTAAAATTATAAATAGGCCATTTTTTTTTATTTTATTTATTTTTTGACATTTGCTTTGAATACATTCGGAATTAGACTTCCCGCACATTAATTACTTTGTGCAATATTTACATTTACTCTATTCATAAATTACCAAAATGCTATTTTATGACGTAACTTAGGCCTATATTTTAGCCCATTTCAAGAAACTGTTTTGCTTATTATTTCTGATCGCGTCTGTTTTAACAGTTGATCGTGATGTTTTATTCATGAGCTGTGTCCTAATAATGCCAGCATTTCTGTGTGTCACTTACAGAATGAATTCATTTTATTGAGTATAATAATCTATTGAGAATATTTACGTACCACTGTGAGATATTTTTATTAGTCTTCATTAATAGTAGCATGTATAGTGTACGGTATATGCAAGCATTTCTTTGTATACCGATATAGAGTTAGGCCCCATTTTCTTTTTACCTTGTATTTTGAAAAATGTAGGCCATAACGAAAGTAGTTAGTATTCTTCGGTAATGAAACTTGACTAGAGAAGTTTTGCATATATATC